TTATGATGCTGGCGCCATTAACGTAGGTATTTGTCTCGATCGATTTAACGACTGTTCAGAATTAGTTGCATGCGAACCTATGGATAACTCTTGTTACAATCCAGAACACAGATGTGTTCATCATCCCCGATGTCAAAATAAACCTGTTTGCTATCCAGTACCAAGTTTCAATCAGTATTTATGTCCACCCAAAGCAAGTAAGTGAATATTCAATCCTATTCGAAGATCTGCCTAATGTGAAAATGCTTAAATGAAGCCAAAGCCTTTGAAAAAACTAGTTAATATATCTTGGGCTTGTAAGAAATTGCTATCTCAGAAAAAGTTTAGTTCTATCATCTATATTACTATTGTTCAGTGTCTGTCGATCTGTCTGTCTGTGCCGGATCAAAGATCAGAGGTCAAATAAGGCTATAAGGGAGAAGGCGCCAAGGGCTACTATATTGGAATACCCATAAGCCCTCAAGAACTATTATATAGTGGTAGCCATAGGTCCTCAAGGGCTGTTCTATGTGGATATTCATAGGTCCTTACGGGCTATGCTATGGAGGGTGCCCGTAGATCCTCAAAGGCTATTATATGGAGTATCTATAGGTCGTTAAGAGCTATCATACGGGGGTACCCATAGGTCCTTAAGGCCTATCCTATTGGAGTACACATAGATCTTCAAGGGCTATTATATGGAGTATCCACAGGTCGTTAAATGCTATCATAGGGGTACCCATAGGTCGTTAAAGGGCTATTATATGGGACATCGATAGGTCCTTAAGGACTATTATATGTAGGTACCCATAGGCCCTCAAGGGAGTAAGGGGGTAGGTAATAAGGGTAAAGCAATAAGGAGATAAGGCTATAAGACCTACAAGGGATATAAGGGCGAAGGCTACCTGGACTATAAAAATATGTACGGTATAAGATTATCAGGCCGTAGGACTATCTATCTATATACATAATATCGGGTGTCTGTATGTCTGTTGCCGGATGAAAAGTCAAACATTTAAGGTCATAAGTTAAAGGAGGAAACAGCCGTGCAGTATGCACGAATTTTCATTAGTAGTTAATATTCTTTTTCATTTGAATCTAAGAGTTTATTGAGTGGGTGTATAAATGTGGATGTATGAGAGTATGTTACATTTCGAAGAACGATGCACTACAGTAAAAGTACAAAGATTACACAGAACATTGCTAGTATTGAAACCAAAATATTGAATAGTCCGAAAATTTCTCGCTCACTTATCAGCATCAGGATTTTCCACTAAAAAGTTTGTTTTTGAAAATTACATTTTTCTCATTGTCACTAAGCCCTAAAATTGCCTGTCAGTTGCGAGAAATCATAGATATTGTTCATTATAATTTTGACTATATTTGGTTCTAACATGAGCCGCAAAACTATTCACCACGTTTATATACATGTTCTATGATTATAAACAATAGCAAATGCTACTACCACGACAACGCTATCAACTACAACGACGGTCACAGCAACTACTACTATTACTACTCAACAACCGTGTAAGTAAAAGGCCTACATTTCGGGTGTTAGGAGATCGTTTAGTCAAGTCTCTACTATAGTTGTGAAGAAACAGCATATTGTGCTAGAGAAAGGTTTTTCTTTCCATTTATCTTTGCACTCAATTAAATAAAGCAATACTACGAATAAAATTCACAGCTTTTCACACAATTTTTTTTCAAAACATGTTAATAAAACAGAAAAGAAGCGTTTTCGAAAACCTTGGAAAGCAATATCCTTTTTAGTTTATCAATGAAAGAGTTATCTTAGAAATATGAAAAGAAAAGAAATAGCAGAATTTATTTCTATTCTATACTTGAAACTTTTCTTTGACTTCTATAAAAATGGAAGGCTTAATATTCGAATTTAATCTTTTCTTTTTTTCTGCCTTATCTGGCGAAGCATTAATGAATGAAATAAAAGTATGATATGTAATTTTATTCTTTCTTTTTCTTCTCGGATAAATTAACTCTCCCCTTTCTTTTCTCTAAGATTTATTCAATAAAAATCGTTCATTAAAAAAACAAAACAACTTCCTTTTGTATCTCTTTTTTTCTCATCTTTTCGCAGTTTCATTGTCAAATTTTCGGTATTCTAATAACTTTTCATTTTGAATGATGCCGTCGTCAGAAATTCTTTTCCCTTTCATAAAAGAAAAAAAAAAGTTAATCTTCACGAATATTAAGTTGTACTCTTCTATTAATTTTTTTTTCGCATCTAATATCTATCGGCCTCTTGTTCATTGAAGATGGAAGAAAAATGAGTTTCTTTCTCTTCACTAATTTTTCTCTATTCTTCAATTCGTTTCCAAGAGAAAATCCATTTCTGTTCAGCAGAAACCAACGAAAGCAAACATTTTCTTTGTCTCGTAAGCTGCAATAAAAAAAATTGATAACAAGGAAAAGGAAAGAACTTTAATTTTTTTTCGTCGTGATGTTTGTGTTTTTGAGTTCTTTGGATTTAAGAACTCTTTTCCCATTCATTTGTGAAAATAAAAGTAAAGAGAACTCTTTTGTTTTTACCTCTGTCTGTTCGATTTCTGTTTCCAATAGTATGGACACCATTACGTGGCAGTCCTATTGACATTCCAGAGGATGCTCATTGGGAACAACGTGGTGTTACTGTAGCTGGAGGAAATGGGGAAGGTAATGGAACTAATCAGTTCTATAATCCTGACGGCTTATTTGTGGATGATGAAGAAACCCTTTACATTGCTGATCAACGTAATCATCGTATTATACAATGGAGAGCGAATGCAACAACTGGTCAAGTCGTTGCTGGAGGAAATGGAAAAGGAAACGAAACTCATCAGTTACAGTGGCCAACAGATGTGATTGTTGACAAAGAGACAGATAGTCTCATCATCTGCGACAATGGTAATAATAGAGTGGTTCGATGGCCTCGTCAAAATAGTACAAGTGGTATAACGATTATATCGAACGTTGATTGTTGGGGTTTGACCATGGACGAAGGTGGCTCTCTCTATGTTAGTCTCTCCAGTAAAGGTGAGGTGAGACGATATAGAAGAGGAGAATCTGAAGGAACGGTGGTTGCGGGTGGCAATGGAAGGGGAAATAATCTCAATCAACTCGATGTGCCATCCTTCGTATTTGTCGATCGAGATCATACAGTGTACGTATCTGATCTTTTCAATCATCGTGTAATGAAATGGAAAAAAAATGCTAAAATAGGTATTGTTGTCGCTGGTGGTCACGGATTAGGAAGTAGTCTCAAACAACTTCAAAATGCACGAGGAGTCGTTGTCGATCAATTAGGTACTCTTTATGTGTCTGACGATGGCAATGATCGAATCATGCGTTGGCCTGAAGGAGCTACACAGGGCAGTGTTGCTATTGATGGTAAAGCAGGACAATGGACAGGAGTCAATGGTTTATCTTTCGATCACTATGGTAATCTGTATGTCGTCAATTTTGATAATTATCGTGTTCGACGCTTTGATTTAATGAAATAAAAAAGTGTATTGGTATTGAAATGTTATTTATATTTTGTACGGGCAATCAGGAATTCAACACCACTCTTGAATCCTCCATGCAAGAACCTACATCAATGAGCATGTATCTCTGTTCTAGTGTTAAGAGTACTGAAACCGTTCATTGGCTAGTGTTTAAAGTCTAGTTCGGAAGGATCATTATAAAAACCAAAGAAGTCATACTCATCCTCCAACACCTCTATACTATTCTACATTTTATTTTTACAGCTAGAACTAGGTTGTGGGGTGTGGGTGTGTGGGTATGGATGGGTGTGAGTGTGGGTATTTGTGCCAATGGGCATATTATCTTATGTGATACCTTTTCTTTCTCGGTGTGCTCTTGTACAATCGATGATACATAGTGTTCATAATCGCGTTACTTTTACGTTTATGTATGCATGGTTGAACTTTGTTCTCTTTCTGTCGTAATGCGCTTCTTATTCTATATTGCCATTCACTCGTATATTATATGTATTGTGTAACGACTTCTGTTGTACGAGATACCAGTTAAAACTACTCTAAGTATAATTTATTGGTATAACAAGAAAAACGTCTCCCTTGCTGTATTTTTCTCGTCCCTTATATACTACTTCGCATACGTAGAACGTCCTTGAAAAATACAGCGAACACAATAACAGAAAAGTACGAGAGGGGAACAAAGGTTAGGACACAATTATGGATCATGCTATGTACGAGAGAAGAGCGCACCAAGGATGTCGTTTCAAGGTACACAACGAATGGAAAAGAGTAGTGAGGTTATTCCTTTTATGGATATCGTTATGCACCAGAGAAGAACATACCAAGCGTGTCATTCCAAGGTACACATATACAGAACGGGAAAGGATATTGCGGTTATTCCTTTTATGGATATCGTTATGCACGAGAAGAGAACATACCAAGCATATCATTCCAAAGTACATATACAGAACGAGAAAAGGATAATGTGGTTATTCCCTTTGCGGTTAACAATATGTACGAGAGAAGGATAACTGATGATGTAGTTTCAAAGTACATTAGGAAATTTCAATCGAGAATAGGGGATAGGTTACATATTGGGTGTGGGTGTGAGCCCTAGTTTCGCCTACGCCCACACTCCACATCCATACCCACACCCACGCATACCCACAAACACACCCACCACTAGAGTATTATAATAGTAAATATATGAGCAATCTACATCAGTCTATAGTACATAAAAACAAGAGAACACATCATCATGAAATAAAAAAGAATACAAAAAAAAATCAAATTTCAACTCAGATTTTTTATTGATCGGACTGTAGTGATTGTGATAGTCTATATATTAATAGAAAAGACCTTGAATAAATATACGAAGAAATAAGAAATATTTTGTTGAACACACAGCAAAGTAAGGATGTGGGTAGAGAATGAGATACAATTGTGGCCGTTTTCTACTCTTGAGTTCAAATGTACACTTATACACTCCATCCAATCCCACATACTTATTGACTATGTATCCATTGGATGTCTATTTCATTTTTTCTTCATATAATTTACTGAAATTTTGTTCTTAAAATATGAAAAAATATCCAATTCAAACTGAAGGTAATCAAAGAAAACTAACTCATGCACTAGATAAAAAATTAAGGTATCTGGTTAAACATTTTTCTATACAATTTATGAGAACAATGCACAATGAAACTGAAGTAAACAAGTTCAAACGGTTATCATAGTATTTATAATGTGGCTTTCTGTGAAGAAGAAACAAAAATTTCTTTGAATAATGGTATATGTTTTTTTTATTTTATTGCCATTTACTTTCAGGATTGCAATGGATCGCATATAAACTAACATTTCTGCTCTTTCTATGAGAAGTTGTACTATGCAAGTATTGATAAGATTCATCATAGTTGTTTATTATTTTTTTTCTCTCTCTCTCACGCATACATCGAGACAGTCCCACTTCAGATACCTCGTTCAGTTCTCATTAAAGGTCCTTGAAAAGAGAATGAACAATAGTTAATTCTTCAAACGCATTTGTTCACTATTTTTTTCAATATGCGCGCTATAACAAAAAAAAACAGAAATTTGTTTTCTCTCAAGTAATGGACATTGTTTTTAATATGGATTTAATAGCGCATTAAAACTGCTTCTGCAATTTGCTCAATAGAGAACGTCTTATTCATATTTATTATGGGAATCGTATTGCAGATAGTTTGTTTACTTTGTTTCTTGTTGTGGCCATCATAGAAAATTAAAATAATCACTTTTTTTGAATAGCTTACGTATACTCAGGAAGATTGATATTTATCTTCAAATATATTTTTGACAAGAATAGTGTTGATAGAACGCTGGTAGGTATTTTTTCCTTTTTATAAAGCGTTATAGTCTTATTTCAGCGACGTCAGTCGCCTCGGAATAAGCTTTCTTTGCTGCTAGCTATGTGCACCACAAACAGCGGTCTTTTCTATCACTAACTACACTCAGATATCTTATGTTGTTAAAAAAAATGAAAATTATCTTTTGTAAGAAAAGGAAGAACAATAGAATGAGTGAAATTTTTATTGATAGTACATACATTGTTCATAGAGGATGTAAATGAAAATTTACCATACAGAGTCCAATACAACATGAATTAATCTTACAATAGTCCACCATATTTACGTTTTCTTTCCGAAAATACTTTAAGAAAACTGAAGTCCATACATACGAATACAAGACAACACAAACTAAGATTCGACAATCGAATCGTTTTCAAAGATCAGTTTTATATTGACCAACTTGCCTGTTTTTTAGTAGATAGGAAAGGATGCACAGGTCGACTCCTTATATCTGTATTTGGCTGGAGAGTTTCTTTTCTTAATTAAAGTCTTCAATCATTCAGTCCATACTGATAGAATTGACATTCTTCAAAAGTTATCTTTCACGAGCTTCTCCTGATGATCTAATACTTTATTTCATAAAAAAATCTTCAACTAAACATGGATATAGAGAATTAACATATGCATCGTGCCCTACCTACTGTAAAATAAACAAGTTGCTTTGTAAATAGTTGCTCTTTGGAAAGGATTCAATTTCCACAATGTGCCTTGGCTTTTCTTTGATTCGCGAATATAGATTCAACTTTTGTCTAAATAGTTTTAGAGAACTGTATTTGAATTTGAAGTTTGTACGAAAATTTTTGGAAGTAAAAAGTAACTTTTTACTATTATTAGACTAGTCTACCTTCTATCCAAATTATCATGTTAAATTTGCATTGCGATATACTATAGAGAATAAATATATCAATGGCAAATAGTGCCTGCCAAAAGAAGCTTTTTTATATGTAGATATACTTGGAATTAAATCATACAAAAAACTATGTTCATTACAGCTTATGTGTGTGTTATTTTCTGTTTTTTGTTTTAATTTCCTTATTTTGTGTCTTTCTTATGTCTGTGTGTGTATTATTAGGATGTTTTCCAGTACCTGGAAAAAGAATTGCTGCTCGCGAAAATAAAGCCATCTATTTAATACTTATTTTTAAATAATCGTTCTACAACTTCTATTGACCAATTTTTTTGCGGAAGATAGCAAAATACAGAGTACACTGGGCAAGGTTGTGGATAATTAGAAGTGTGATTCAATATTATAAAGAACTTCTATTTGGAAATATGAACATTGAGAGATAATCGATCCGATGAAGGCATCCTATGATTCCGAAATAAAGCTTCACAAAGATGTCTGAATACATAGAAAGCTTTAGATCACATTAGAATGTTTCAAGAAGCTTTTCCTCTTTCTTAGTACCCCTAAAAGATCAGAAATAAAGCTTTCATTTCTGTTATTTTTGAATTTCATCTTGGGAAACGTATTTTAAATCAAATTTACATTTTTAAATCGTAATAATCTCTCTAGAGATTTATTTCATTATTCTAGTGCTCTTCCAATTACATTATCTGTCGTCGTAAAAAGTATCATTTATTCCTTTATTTTCCTTTTATTTTTTAAAAATAAATGATTCATTTACATTTATTTTTTAAAAATAAAGTACCACCCCTAATCAACTATGATGCATTCGATCAGTCAATCAGAGAAACTCGATGCACTGGCTGAAACTTCCAGAACAACTACTATTAGTTCTTTCGTCTTTAATGTTTTAACAATCCGAGTAAATACTATTGTAAAGCAATGTTTTCTCTAATACGATAAGTTATTTTCTACATAATAAAATATAAAAATATAATGAAGCTTATAAAATGAACGCTCAGAAACGGGAGTCGACATCCACCATTTGATTGTATTGTTCTTTCAAAATAGAATCGATTATTCTTATCATAAATATGTTTAATATAGATTAATCTTTGTTGATTTGTATGATAATAAGCATTGATCCAATCTGGTACATCTCTGTCAATATAATTAATATATGAATGTTTTGTTGAATCATTGTAGATAGTCAAATATATTTCATTTAACGAATTCATTTTTTGTTGTTGATCTTGTTCATCATTCGGATAAACCAAAAACTGAATACCAAATTTATAATTTCTATGTGGAAATGCTGTTTTATCAACTGGAATTGTATTTATATAACCATCCCAAGGACTAAATGACATAGAAATTTGACCTTCAGCTAATGCTAATCGATCAATCATTCGATCGAGACTATGATCACTTATCGGTTGGTCATAGAATAAATGTTTGGCTTTAAAATAAAATGTTGGATATGTTAAATTTTCAAGTAATAATTGTCGATGATCACCGCTAAGATTATCAATGCCTGAGCTTTCATAAACATAACTTAACCAATCTCGTTTACGTTCCTCAGTTTTATTTGGAGTTGGTAACGTTGCTAAAAATAACGATATAGTTTGATTAAACTCTTCTAATTCCATACCAAAATTAGTTATTGAAATGTCTGTAAGATTTTTATTTACATGCAGTTGCCAAAAAATATTGTTACTTAAGTTGAATATTTGGTTATTAAATAACAATGATTGATACTGTTGCACTACTAATTTAGTTGCATTGGCATGCCATGCCAACGATAAAGTTGTCACAAGTGAAGGAGATTTAACTAATCGAAATTTAAATTCTGTTACAATAACAAACAAACCTCCACCGGCACCACGTAATGCCCAATATAAATCGGGTTCATGAGTTTCATTTATTGTTAATAATTCATCTAAACGAAACATTTCATATACATTTATCAAATCTATTCTAGACACCAAAATATAAGACATAGTTGTTTTTGAATAACTCTCGACAGGAACATGTTAGGGACATGCGGTTTTCAGCGTTTGATAGCCAAGACCCTCAAGTATATTTTTATAGGCAAAAGTTTTCCGAAGAAGTTCTGGAAAGTCAGCTGAGTTTCTGAAAATCATCACAAAGTTCTATTGATTTTTATTAAATATTCGGAATCAGCATCAAAAACTTTTTTTTCATCGAAAAATTAACCGATGTGCTTCCTCAGAAACTAGTTAAAAATTAGATCAGATTAAAACATTCTTTCTACTGTTTAGTCATTTGCCACTTTACATCCAAATAGTATTTCATAAGCTCTAAACTTGCTTTCCACTGTCCAATTGATTTTTTGATCGGATCCAATTTTCGATCTGACTCTGAGGGAGCACGTCGATCAATTTTTTAACGAAAAATAGTTCGTGAAAAGATTTGAAACATATATGAGCCGATTCAGTTTTTGTTGCGCATTCCAAATACGTAAAAGAAACAAAGGATTTCTGTAGCAGTCTTCAGAAACTCAGCGTGACTTTTTGAACTCCTTTGAAAAACCGATTTTTCGAATTTTTTTGGAAAACTTCTCCTATGAAGATATACTTCTGGGTTTTGGCTATCAAACGCTGAAAACCGCATGTCCCTAACATGTTCCTGTTGAAAAAAAAGTTATTCAAAAACAACCATCTGCCTTATATTTTGGAGTCTATAATAACTACTCATCAAACAAAGATAACATAAGCTTAGGGAGGGAATAATAACTAAAATATATTGACCTTGAGCATTAACAGCTTTCATTTCCAAAATACTGTCAGTTAGTAATCCATATAATCGAGAGAGATAACCATAACCACCACCAAGTGCTTGACCAGCTAAACCTACCCATACACAAGATCCACCATTAATTGTATAGTTATTAGATTCATATGTCCTGTAATAGATTGGACCGAGTCTTAAACCAGCTCCAAATGCAGCAGTTCTATCGAGTTGATTTATATTGATGTAATTAATGGCCTCCATGTTAATAATTATATTGTTGTACATTGATCCTAAGCCATATCCTTCATAACTATGGCCACCTGCCAATGCATTAACAAAATAATCCAGTTTTGTTGCACATTTAACCACGTTCTGAACATCGGTACTATTGGATACATAAACAATAACAGCAGGTGAATGAGAAATTCGACCGCCATGAATACTCGACAGTCTAATAACATTGAATTGTTCACATTGATATTGAGAACTATTTTGATTTGTTAATGTATTACATGGATAAACAGTGCGTATCGATGATGGCAATGACAATGAAAGACATTTTTGTAAATCGTCATTGTTTGTTCTCGTAAATTTATAATCGACAGCAGGACTTGCTCTAGTAACGGTAGTTTGAAAAATATACACCAATACAATGAAGTACCAAATTGAGTCAGATTTAAGCATTGTAGTCTAGAAAAGTAAATTACATCGAAGTGATCCATTTCTGTCAAAAAATTCAACGATGTAAAGAACAAGCAAATTCATCAACTCGACTGTCGTTAATTATGCCTTTATCGAGTTGTTTAGCCTACGCTCACCCCTCTATAATTCTGGCGTGACTATTATGTTAATTTTGCGCATTTGATCTATTTTAGAATTAACAAAGTATATAGTCATTAGTTAACAATATATGTCGATATTTCTAATCAAAGACTTCTTTCGCAGACTGGTGAATAGAAATAAAGACATTTCACAGAAGGGGGTGTAAGATATTATACTATAAGAACACACGACGTCTCGTCCTTGTTTAAGAGTAAAAGTAGCCATTACCGGTTCCATTATTAAGTAACAATGATAGATCGTCAACATACAAAAACTAGAAATGATAGGCATATATAAATCCCATACAAGTTTAGTAGAAAGAAGGTTAAAAAGTAACACCAAAAAAGGAGAGAAGAACAGCGAAAAATACGATTTATTTTTTACAGTGACTGACTTTTATAATCAACGATTGTAAAATATCTCTAGTAGCTGAATATGCATACGTATTTATCGATTGATTGAGAGCATGAGAAAAAACAAGGTATTTTTCTTTTTATTGAGTTTGCATGTATTTTGTTATGTCTATAAACATTTATAACATAAAGAACAGAAAAAGAAAAGCTTTCAGTGCAATCCCTGCGGGATTAAAAATGTGAAACACGATGGAGCTTTTTATATTGTGAATGAAGGAATTTAGTAACGTATGTCTCAATTTTCAATCGCTACGCACTGTTATAGAGAGTGTGAGGAGTAGAGACCAGAGAACTTTCTTAAAATATATCGTTTTTTACAAGAAAAGCAAAATGAAACTTGACTGAAAGTTTAATGAAAGTGATAGCGTTTATAATTGTTCATTTTTCTATGAAAAAATATCTTGTTTTAATATTTTTCATTGCTACAAATAATCAGTTTTATACCATTTCTGTCAATTAACTAATGTTTCCACGTTTTCTCATTAGTTAATAACAAGCAGTAGACTTTACTTGCGATACTGCCTCTGTAGCAATCTGTAATGGTCCCGTAGTAATGTCTGTCACGTCTGTGGGGGGAGGGGGCGGGGTGGGTGGGTCCAAATTTCTACCCCTATACACTTCAACACTTCTTTTAGATCGTGTTTCACAAAAGTAATATCATTCCTCTTGTTTACACGTTAGTGATAAGACGTACTTTTCTCTTTACACTTCAAGCACATATACGATCTGTATATGTGCACGTGTTGAGTCACGTGAAGACTTATTTAGTATATTAAAATATAAAAAATTTTATAATTTGTAATAAAAAGATTAATAATGAATTATGAAACATATAGAAACATGTCTGCAATGCAGAAAGATCTTATCTGTAAAGGATTTGAAATACAACAAAGAATACAACAACATAATGATAATGAAGAAAAAAGAACATCATCACCAACTTTAAAAGGTCATCCGACAAATCACAGTCAACTTAATGATGATCCATATACAGATGAATATCAGGATGATGACATGCAATTTCAACAAATAAGTTATAACAGGCAAAGAAAAAAACCAATTAATAAGGACAAGGACCAACGAATTCATGCACGAATGGTAATTAATTCAAATATTAACAATAATAGGAACTCACAAGTAACAACAACTAATAATAATATTATTAAAGATAACTCATTTCGTATATCTAAACATGCATTAGATTATGCATCTGATTATTATCATCATCAACTGATTAAAATTGAATGTGATCCAAAATTAAAAGATCAACGTGAAGGATCAAAATTTATTCAAGCATTCATTAATTATATTAAAATTGATTTTTTCAATCAAAATGTATCGTATAATAAACCGTTATTGTTTGATCTGTAGTGGATTGATAAAGAGAGAAATATTCGAGCAATTGTTAAGTCTACGGATATTGCTATTTATTTATCACAAGTAAATTGATATCCAAAAGAACTAAATAATATAAAAATAACACCACGTCCACCAAAACATCTTCCACATCAACACACAGCAATATTGAAATGGGTGAAAAACTCCATTTCCTTCGATAATCTAAAAGATGAATTAAAAGCTAAATACAACTCATTATTTTTGATAGAAGAAATTATGACAACAATAAATGATCGAAATCGACATCTTAGAATTGAATTATTAGATAAAAAAAAATATAATGCTATGATAAATAGTGGTAAAATATCTATTTTTGGACAGTTATATGATATAGATGAATTCTTATCATCACCGAAACTCCTAATATGCTCTAAATGTAATCAACGTGGTCATGTAAAACATAATTTTAAAAGTTCAAGTTTTGATATATGTAGAGGATGTGGTGATGACCGGAGCAATAATGATAATCACAAAGAATGTAAAATCAACTGTCATCATTGTAAAGGAGACCATGTCTCCACGGGCTACAAGTGTCCATTTATACAAGAATATCGTCGTCGTTTAACTATTGAATTACGAAAACATCCTGATCTTTTACCACCCGATATTCAATTATTCATTCCATCTGAATATCGGGAACAAGGTGAAAGAACCAAAATAATTTTCAATAAATCGGCTCAAAAATTTCAACAACGATTTGATCAACAAATAATCTATGGCAGAAATGATTTTAATGTATGGCCACAAATATCACCTCATTCTTCAAATACCAACATGGAATCTTTAATAACAAAAATTCAGCAAGACCTAAATGATGAAATAAATACAATAACTAATGACTTACAATTAATAAAAAAAGAGCTTTGAAGAAGAACAATGTAAAATAGAGAACAGGTATAAACACCACCTAAATACAATCAAACAAGGATGGCTGTTAATGCAACAACAAATTGAAACACAATCTCAAATTTTATCAACAATTAACGCCGCAGTTAGTCAGACATTATTCTCCACATGCCAAAAAACAATAAATGCGTTGTACCATGTGACAAATAAAATGAAATTACAAACAAATACAAATGATTATGATGATATTCTTAATGAAATGGCAATATAAGTTTCCTTCATAAATGATTTTCAAGCAACATATTCAAATCAACAGGTCTTACTTGAAAAATTGTTAAATAAACGAAATGAAGCACTTGGTAATGCATTGAATTTGTTATCTGAAAATACAAATGGATAGTCCAGATTTCAAATATTCTTCACCTACAGCAAATATAGACTTAATCAATTTTTTAATGGATCTCAAAAAGAGAAGGAAATTCTTCTATCCATGTTTTGTGAATGAAACATCAGAAACACTATCTCCGAACTGAACAAAAAATGGCCAAAAGAAAGACCAAAAAGTTATTCTGAAAATTTTACTGTTTTTTATGGAATTACGAGGGTCTTAGTACACATCTTGCTAATTTAGATATTCTTCTTTCTTATCATTCTCGCCATATAATTATTCTAACAGGAGTGGGAAAACAGATTCGATATTTACCTAAAATACCATATTACTATTGGCATAGCCAAGAGGGTGATAACAGTTTTGGTGGTGTTGCAATACTAGTACAACGGAAACTAAAGAGTACAGCCCTGAAAAGATCGATCAACTTTTTATTAATTGAATTAGAAATTTCAAATCAAAAAATAAATATAGCAGCCGTTTATGTTCCACCAAACAATATACCTTCTTTTGAACTTTTTCAACCACATGATAATAAAAATATTATCATTTTTGGTGATTTTAATGCAAAACATCAAGAATGGGGCTGTGAGAAAAATAATTCAAGTGGGAATCGAATAAAGAAATGGGCTGAAAACGGAGATTGGAATATACTATACCCGTCAAAACCATAAAGGTACACTAGATCATTATCCAGTGATCTTTTTTCTCCTTTCTCTGCAACCGAAAATGGGTCTTTTAGAGCAACCAACTGGAAAATTTTTTACTATTTTTTACAATTTACTTTTTCATATTGGAATTCATTGGCGTATAATATGGATTATAAAACATTTTTTGAAATTGTTTCAGCATTTCTAGCAGCTCTATGGGATCGTTGTAGTGAATACAAATACGTTAAAGCTTTTAGAACTCCATGGCCACCTTATCTAGTAATGATAGCTAAAAATGTAAATAGACATAAAAGGAAATATCGAAGAACACGTTTTTTTAAATCATTTCAACGATTTTTTGTTTTGGAAGAACATATTTCTACAAGAGAAAAATAATTACCTGCAAAAACAAAAAGACAATAAGTTAAAAGGCATGAAAATAAATAATAATGTATGGTCATATGTGAAAAATACTTTTCGTCCATATTCTTCATCATTTAAAGGTTTAACAACATCAAATGGAATAATCAAAAATAATCAAGAAATTGTTAATCTGTTAGGCAATCATTATGAAAAACACTTTGAACAACCAATTCATGATATAAATAATCCTTATCATATTGAATGTATAAATACCTATAAAGAAATAGAAAATGGTCCAAATTTACCTTTACAAAATATCGAATATGATGAAGTTCTAAAACAATGGAAAAACTTGGCATAAAAAAAAATGATTAGATAGTACAAGTACTTCCGCTTACCTCTTGATAAATCTTCCAAGTGAATATCTAAATATAATAACAGTTTTATTTAATAAATGTGTTGAAAATGGAACTTTTTTTTTAGTAAAAGTAAACAAGCTAAAGGAATCTGCTTATCTAAAGAAGGAATGTATCCCATCACTTGAATTGACCAAATCAATTGTTGTATGAATTAGTTGATTAATATCTTTTTTTCGTTTAGCATATTCTTCTTCTAGTGCTTGCGGAAGTGCACTAACTATTAATTGAGTTACAGGTAATGAGCCAATCTGTTT